GGTTTCTCTGTATTGCTTTGGAGCCTGTCCTGGATCTCACTCTGTAGACGGGGCTGGCTTCAAACTCAGAGATCCGCCTGCCTCTGTCTCCCGAGTGCCGGGATTAAAGGCATGCGCCACCAACGCCCGGCTGGCAGTAATTTTTTTTTAAAGATTTATTTATTTAATATGTATACAGTATTCTGTCTGTATACAAGAGGAAAGCACTAGATCTCATTATAGATGACTGTGAGCCACCATGTGGGTCCTGGGAATTGAACTCAGGACCTCTGGAAGAGCAGCCAGCCAGTGCTCTTAACCTCTAAGCTATCTCTCCAGCCCCCAACTATGCATATTCTTTGTATTGCGATTTTTTAGTTCTCTCCAGTAAACCCTGGGACTTTGCTGAAAAAGAGCCAAGCTATATTCATACTTATGGATGTTATCTCCTAATATATTTAATGGTGTCATTATTATTTTGAGAAACAAATTATCTTTTACTTAAAAATGGGTTATTTTCATAGGTTATCTATGAAATACACAGTCATAAAAACAGCATTGCAAATAATTCTCTCAAAAACTCAGATAACCAATAACATTCACTTTAAAAGCCAGATTAGTTTAAAGTAACTTGAAGGCTGGAATCCAGGGCATATGTGCTGGAATGGACCATCTAGTTGTCTAGGACCATTTGAGTCAGCCAATACCCAGGTAGCATTTAACTTAGTTCTTATTTCCCAGCAGCTCTGTGGAATGCTTTGTTGAATTATGCTTCAGCATATTGGAAGAAAATTTTCTTAATATAACTAATAACCTTATCAAAAAATCAGATCTTTTACTTCTTAAAGTAAGATCATCTGAGATCAAGGAAATTAGTAAGTTCCTTGCTAACAGTTAAGAGTTTGCTCATGCTTGTGGAGACTGCTGTTTGACAAGGGCCCTTTCCTCCTGAGAGGCAGCTAGATGGCATTTCCTGCCTGTCTTACACATAGGTGTGCTCTGAGTGGGGGCAATTCATGCACTAGTATCTTAAGAGTGGGAGAAAAAATGCAGAATCTCCTTTTTGTAAGGCACAAATTCTCCCTAAAACAAAGTAAAGGAAGTCCTTCTTTCCTAGGGCTCTGATGTTGGTGTAAGGACTCAGGCATTATGCTGGCCTGCCTCTGTCACCCGGCAGAATGCACTCAGGCAGTACCCTGGTCAGTCTAGGGTTCCATGATTTCCTAGTCTGCACGCAGGTGCAAAGGACCTTTAAAAGAAAGATCTCTGGCTACTTATGCTCTCTTTTCTTTCCCCTCTCGCAGTTCCTCTGGGGCTTTTCCTGTCTTCCTCTTCTCTTCTGTCCTCTCTCTGTGTCTCTGTGTCTCTTTACCTCTTTTCTGTTTCCTTCTCCCTCCCTCCCCTTTATAAGCTGTCTGCCTGGCATGTTAGTCCCCCCGCCTCGGTCACCCTCACTTGCCATGGAATCCGCCAAGGTCTCCCAGGCAAGGTCCCCACAAGCTTTATCATAACAGTCCTATTTCTTGTGTTTCACCTTAAATTAGCAGTAATGACTAACCAATGAGTAAGCTGAAAGATTTGAATCATCATCCAGTCAAAAACACTAAGCAATATTCAACTTTAAAAGAACACTCATCGTTTAATACTTAGTTATTGTAGTCTAACTGTGGTATTGAAAGAAACCCAATTCAATAGGAGACCACCTCATTTCCTGTCAGGAATTTTCAGGGAACTTTGGTTCAGATCCCCAGACAAATCCAACATCTTGGGGCTCACTCACACTCGGGGTATCTCACTTGGTCTGAGATGAGACCCACACGAAAGCCATGAGGTGCTCCTAATATTTCCATGGCTGAGGACCACTGGTGTACACTTTAGTTAGGGGGTGATGTATTAGAAAGCTGAGTGTATGATGGACCTACAGTTCAAGACACTGATTTGCAAAATGGAATCTTTGCTTTCAATATATAGAAACT